CACACACACACACACACACACACACACACACACACACACACATCTATACTGGGCTAGTGCTTGGCCAGGCTTCCTATAGGGAACTAGAGATCCCAGAGAGCAAGTACAGATCTAGGGAGTGAAACTGTGCTAGCACCCCTTAGCCCTATGCCTAAGAGGCCCAAAACAGCAAGGAGGAAGGCAGGGATTTATCTCAACCCACTCTCCTCCCTCCTCCATCCCAGACCAATAGCTTTCACTCCATTTTCCCAGCCAAGGGGGAAATGGAGGCTTGGAGAGGTGTAAGGCTGAAGCAGGCCCTTGAGTGAACAGTTCTTCAGTAGGATTCAGCACTTCCTGGTTCCCAGCCTGAGAATCGAACCACACCTCTCCCCACCCCCATTTTGGGTCAGCCCTCCAAGATGGATCCAAATGGCAACACTGGCCCTGCAGACCCTTCACACTGTCCCTGGGTCATCCTGGGGGTAGCCATAGCTAACAAGGTACAGTCCTACCTAAGGAGGTTGTTTGGGGCAGACAACATGAGGGATCCTCCATAGAACACAGGAGCAGAGAGCATAGTTGACAGCTCACCTCACTGTATCATCCCTGTGCCACCTCTCACCTCCCAGAAATCTTTCAAGGGCAAAACCCCCTATTTTCCCTTTTCCAAGACCAGACTCAAAGAGATCCAGCATATGTATGTTGGAAGGGGTGGAGTGAGGGAGCAAAATGCCCCAGCCAAATCCCTGCTGGGCAACATGACAGGTGTGAGAGGGGTTGTCCCAGCCCAGGGCCCAGAGGCTTGAGGCCATGAGGCTCATGCTGCACCCTTCATGCAGGCACATACACACCCCTTCTCCTCAATACCTCCTGCCAGGGCTCAAAACACTGGATTACAGCAGAAAGAGCCCTGATCAAGTCATTTCTCCCCCAAAGAGATAGAGACCATCCTATTGTGCAGGGTTGGGACAGGAACAGAGGACCAGTTAACATTCCCTGGTCAAAAAAAAGGTTGGAGAGGTCTGGGAGGGGCTTGCAGGATTGGTCAGGGACTCACGGGCAGCCAGCTTTCCACACTAGGCCCAGAGAAAGTGGGAGACAAAAGCCATTTTTTGCAGCCCACATTCGCAGGGAGCAAATCTCAACGGCCTCCTCTATAATCCCCTAGAGATTAGGTCCATCCTGAGAGGAGGGGAGGCAAAGCAGGCTAAGACAGCACTAGGCCTCACTGAGGTCACTTTGCCAGGCAGGGGTAGTTTAAAGTTGAACAGCAGGGCCAGAGCTGCCCCCAGCCCCGCCTCCTTCTTGCCCCAGCCACCCCCTTCATCACACTAGTCAGTGTCCACACTCTCCCCTTTGCCCAGTGAAAGAAGGCCTGGTGAGGGATCTAGGGTTCCTTGAGTTTCCCAGGGACAGCTTTGGGTGCTCAGCTGGGTAGGAACAATCTTTAAGTCCAACTGGCAGTAAGTCTGACCTGGCAGTGGCACCCTCCCCCCGCCAATCTCAAGTTGTCCTGTCCCAAGGCCCACAAGGAACCCTGTGGGGAGAAGCAGCAGCCAGGGATTGGTGCTGGCATCAGGGTCTGGGTCCTAGTTTAGTCAAGCTCCCCCCAACACAAAAATAAACAGGCAGAGAGACTATCTGGCCAGCTTCCCAAACTCCTGTGGTTCTCTGAACCCCCAGTCTTTAAAGAGGCACACCCCAAGACACCAGGCCTCAGTTCTGCCCTGGTCACTGGCTCAGGTTCCCTTGACAGACCCTGCCAAAGGAACCCTCCGCAGCTCTGGCACCCCCTTCTTCAACCTAAAGGCCAGCTCCGGCCAAGATAGTCCATCTGGCTGTGCCCCCAGTCCAACCCTTTCTGGGCCTTGGCCGGGCGGACTTCACTCACCTCTTCACAGGGCGATCCAGAAATCCTCATCCGAGAACATGGCCAGAGCCCGGGCCGCTCCCCGACCTCCAACCGCCAGAGCGATCACAGCCGCCCCCCGCTCGGGGGGGCTTAGGGGGGCCAAGAACGGTAAATCCAGGTCGGAATGGCCACCCTACCCCCCAAAAAAAGCAAGAAGCCAAAGCGGAGGTTCTCTGCCTCGGGTTCCAGCAGTTTAGGTTTCCATGGACAGCCCCAGGGCGGCGAATCCTGAGCGGACACAAAGAGAGCACCGGTGGCTTTGATCTTGGGCGAGCAGGCTCCGCATCCGCGTCGCCGGGCGGCCTCTCAGTCCTAGGGCCCGGCCAGCGCCCCGGCCGCCCGCGCCGGGCTCGGGCGGAACGTCGAGGCTCTCCAGATGGAACGTCGAGGCGCCTCCCCAGCAGCCCGGAAGGAATGCCGCGCCGCCCCGCGCCGGGCCCGGATGGAACGTGAAACCCTCACAGGAGCGCCGAGCCCCTGTCCCCGCCCGGGCCGGCGCCCCGGCGCCGCGCGAGCTACGGCGACGCGGAGCCGGCGGGGCCGCGGGGCTGAACCTGACACACACCCAGCGCCGGGCTTCTCGACCCCAAGCGCTCACTCTCGGCGGCTTCGAGACCCCCACCTTCTGCTCCCCCCGGGGAAGGGAGGAGGCTAGGTGGGCGAGGAAGAGGAAGGGGCGGGCGGTGCGAGCCCTCTGCCCGCTCCCCTCCGGCCGCTCCAGGCCCTGCGCTCGCCTCCCTTCCCCTCTGGCCTCGGGAGCTGCCCCGCCCCCGGCCTGGCCGGCTCTGGTCGGTGGCACCCCCTCGACCCTCGGCTGGCTGTGATCGCGGGAGGCCTAGAGGTGCATGGCCCAACCCCGGCTCCCGGCACCGGGGGGTCAGGAAACTGAGCGGAAAGTGGGGAACGAGGCAGCCATTTGCAACCGGAGAGGAAAGTAGTGCAGCGCGGCGCCGCTCCGCCTCCCCCCCTCCGCCTCCTGTTCGGCCGGTAGGGTGGTTCCTGCGAAGGGGCTATTTCCTGGCCCGAGATCTGGGCAGCAGTCGTGGAGATTCGTGAAGCCTCCGGCGCGAGATCCGGGGGGTCCTTTTGCCCGGGGAACCCCACTCGAGGAGGGGAGAAAGGAGAAGATGCGGCCCTATTTTGTGTTGGAGCGGAGCTGCGGAGGGATACTGCCCTCTCGGAGGAAAGGCTGTGACTTTGCAGTTCTACGCACACGCTGCGGGATCCCTCCGCCACGGGTTAACCCCGACTGCGCCGGACCGGCCGCTGTGCAGACACGTGGGAACGAAGCCCCCCCTCCTCTTCGCCTAGGCCGTGGAACTGCCTCATTTACCGCCCAGGACGTGAAACTAGGACTCCGGCCACTTTCTAATTCCGTTCCCTTGCAATCATTGGTCCCTGAAACTCCAACTGCCCTCTTGCTTTGGTCAGGGGCAATCTTTCCCGGGAGGGGGATGGAAGAAGAGCCAGGAGATTGGCCGCTGCTCTGCATCCTGGGAACTGGAGTCCGCGAATGGAGAAAGTGAGGCACGGCTCCTGGCGCTGTAAAGGGTGGATTCTTGCCACGTTCGGGGGCCCGAAGAAAGCCGGACGAGTCCATGGTCGTTCCTTCTGGCTCCCAGACCCCCTCGTAAGGAAGGACTGTGGGTGCCCACACCATCACCACACACACCTCCCCATCAAAACATAAACGTAGAGCCTCCTTTCCTTTTCAGGGTGCTCCCACCCCCTCTTCATCTTTCGGGATGAAGGACCAATGTCCTTTTTTTGCTAAACCGAGGTAGCCTTGCTGCTACCTGGCTGGAGTACTGTTACTCTGGACAACATCCCAAGACACACTCCCTGCAGGTCCTCCCCACCCCCCATAACCCTGGATGAGAAGAAGGAATTGGAATGCCTGTTCTGCGTTAGCTGTATACATGGGCGGACAGGAAGACACAAACTAACTATGTGCTAGATACTTTATATATTCTTAGTTACATTACGAATTACGGGAAATTATCTCTATATTAGAGTTGAAAACATTGAAGCTAAAATAGGTGAAATTGCCGACGGAACTACATCTAGCGAGAAGCTGATGATTTAAACCAAAGGCCATGCTTTTCCAGGCCGGGCGCGGTGGCTCACGCCTGTAATCCTAGCTCTCTGGGAGGCCGAGGCAGGCGGATTGTTTGAGCTCAGGAGCTGGAAACCAGCCTGAGCAAGAGCGAGACCCCGTCTCTACTAAAAATAGAAACAAATTAATCGGACAACTAAAAATATATAGAAAAAATTAGCCGGGCATGGTGGCGCATGCCTGTAGTCCCAGCTACTCAGGAGACTGAGGCAGAAGGATCGCTTGAGCCCAGGAGTTTGAGGTTGCTGTGAGCTAGGATGACGCCACGGCACTCTAGCCCGGGCAACACAGTGAGACTCTGTCTCAAAAATAAATAAATAAATAAAAATAAACCAAAGGCCATGCTTTTCCTAGGATTAAAATAATACATTTTTATAAAGAGGCAGGCAAATTAGGTGCAGGGCTAGTTTTGTGGGAAAGGGTTTACAGTGCTATTCAATAGAACTTTCTGCAACTATGGAAATGCACTCTATCTACGCTATCTAATATGATAGCCATTAATCACATGTAGCTATTGAGAACTTTGAAATGTAGGCAATGCAACTGAGAAACTAACTTTTTAACTAAACTTAAATAGCCATATGGTGACTAGTTAATTCCATTTTGGACAGTGCAGGAGAACTTCATCCCTACTGGCCAGGCTCATAGGAGAGATCAGAACTAGGCATATTCTCTGCTAGCCACACACTGGCATCATGCTCTCTGCACTGACCATTGAGGTCTATTTCAGCAAAAACTCCAGCAGTGATCCCACACCTGTCCCAATTAATAGGATAAGCTAACCAAGAGACAGAAGTTGGAAAATGGAAGGTCCCTCCCTACTCTCTGTACCCAGAGGCAGAGAGAGGCAGACCCTCACCAGAAAGACCTCCAGTAGTAACACAGCCACTATTTCTTAAGGGCTTATTATGTATGATGAACTGTAACATATATTATCTCATTTAATTCTCACCTCAACCTAGATTTAACCACACTTCATAAATGAGAAACTGAGGCTCAGAGAGATTAAGTGACTGCCCACGGTCACAAAACTACGTGGAAGAGCTACTAACCAACTATTAGCCACCATTCTTTACTGTCCCCAGGCCTTGAGATCACTTGAGAAACTTCTAGAAAACCCCAGACTTCATCAAAATGGCAGTGGGAAGGTAGGCCCCTGTAATGAGTATCTCAGATCACATGTGGAAAATGACTTAATTATAATATAAGGAGAGGGTGGTGACAGCCCTGAAGAACCTCCTAAGCTACTGAGATTGCTCTTTGGAGTGTTTCTTCCAACAGCCCTTATTTCTTTTTAGATTCTAGATCAGAAAAGCAAAAGCAGCTGGCAGGACTTTTGAAAATCAGCATGACAAACCATTTCTCAACTGTAAGCCTGGAGTCAGGCATTGACAAAGTCACAGTTAAAAATTGCACCTAGATTTTGTCCATCTTCCCAACTAAGTGCATTATGCGGGTGCCTCAGGCTCCCCCAGTTTGCAGGAAAGGTCTATACTCTCTCTCCCTGTGAAGATACTATACTACACAGATAACACTTGCAAGTCCTTGGAAGAGGTATTAGACCAGTTAGGCTCTTGGGCGGGTGGAGAAGGGGAATCAAGAAAAGTAGGAGCAAAATGGGACCAAACCTTCCTAGCTGAAATATCAATCCTACTAGAGGCAGTAGGTCAATAAGGAAGGACAGAAGCAATAGCCTTTGACACCTAAAAAAGATAGCACAATTCTAAGGGTGTGAAAGGTACAAAAAGATCACCAAAGGTATGAAAAGAGCAAAGAATGTCCATTTTAATGAAAGACATTGGGGACATGGTGGACAAGGGGATTGATATGCACAGGGGCATTATTCTTACTTTACTCCTCAACTCTCTTGAGAAGTCAAAATCTTCATGACACTTTAGTCTCTGCCTCTATACTGCTTCTCAATTCTTACATCATCAGGAATGAGGGGCTTCCTTCCTCCTCCCCAAACCAATCACCCTCTTTCTGAGTTCCAACAAATGCCAAGGCCCCAGGAATATAGCTAGGTCAGCATGTAGCAGCTGGCCACTAGAGGGTGGTGTTTCTGTAGTTAAAGGGATCTTGAGAGGCTACAAACTTGGAGGGGAGTGGCAGCCAACTGGACTCAGCATAGGGGGAACCCAGCAGAATAGAAAGGTGGGAGGGCAAGTGTTAAGACTTAGGATAATGGTCCTTAATTAAGTGAGGAGTAAGGAATAGAAACAACATAGGAGGAAAGATTCCCCAAAGACCACAGCTATCACTCATTCCTTAGAAAAGGAGATACTGGCCCTGAGCTCTCCCCAAATACGAAGAAGTCAACAACAAAAGATTTCTCAGTTTATTTGCATATATACATTGTTACCCCAGAAGCCAGCTCTACTTCAGGAGTCCCCAGCTCCCCTTTCCTAGCCAACACCCAAAACTTACACAGGAGGAAGGGCCCTGGATAAAAAATGCCCAGGACTCATATCCCAATCCCACAGGTTCCAACAAAATTCATTTAGCAAAAACAGAGGGCTAGAGGCCAGTGCCCATGAGACATCCTTGCCCCTTTGTAAACATTGACATCCAGGCCACTGAAGCCTGAGGAAAGTGTGCAAACATGAGGAAACCACACTGTGTGCCCAGAGGGCCAGTAACACAGCTGGCAACCATACCCATGAAGTCCTGAGGGCATGCCCCCCACTGGAGCCTGGCGAGTGCCAGGGACAGAAACAAGGCAGTTATCCTATGCCCAAGGGCTCACATGAGATGGCAGCGACGCTCTTGCCCATAGGAATTCTCCACACGTGCGATCTCCTGGATGACTTTGGTGAAGATGTCTTGAGTCAGCTACAAAGGATAGGGATTCAGGGCAAAAGTCAGTTCCGTGCCAATACCATCCAGCTCTGGGGTAAACATCCCACTTCCCCAACATCCCACCACCAAGCAGTGCTATGAGAAAAACACTGCCACCCCACATCACCCTCCTAATCGTTAGGCCCAGGACCTGATTGTCTCGAGCAGATGACTCCATAAATGTTGCACCCCAGGACTCTGCCAGCTTCTTCCCTTCAACTGCCTGTACCTCTCTGGAAGCAAATTTAGGATATAGAGATGGAGGAAAGATGTCTCCAAGCACTCTTCAAAATCTTTAGAATCTAGACTTCTGATCCATCCCACTTCACAAGGTTTGGGAGGAGGGTTGGGAAGGTGAAAATATAAGTAAACAAAGGAACAATGGGTGAATCTAGGCTAGGACTGAGGCTTGAAATATGAAATCATGGCTTTTGAGATAGAAACTCTCAAGTCAGAGATGAAGAGAGGTGAAACGACTTGTTTGCATCAGTGGCAGAGCCAGGACAAGAACCTGACTGATTCCTAGTCCAGCTTACTTCCCTTTGCCCTGAGTGGCACGGATTTACATACCTATCTGGAGAGAGATCTGCCTTGTTCCCCACTAGCACCACCGGCAGCCTGTGAGGAAGCAGCAGTTACTATAGGATCCCCGCTCATTTCCCATATTACCCAACTCCTTCACGTTAAGGCTGGACAACTCATCAGACCAGGCAGGATCTATGTCCCAGCCTCCCTCTAATTTGAACAATTCTCCCTTCTCCTCTCTCCCACCCCCTCATGTCCACACTATGTTTCTATTCCCCAGGGCCACTTACCGGGTTTTCCCATGGCCTTCGTGTAACTTTTGGTACAGACTCTCAATGACTTGGAAGCTTCAAACACAAGAAATGGAGCTATAACCTTAGTTCTGAGACAGTCCTCAGGTCCTCCCAAGTCCCCCACTCACAACCTTGGTCACTTACCTATGCAGAGAGGTGACAGAATACACAAGCACATAACCATGGACCCCAATGATGAATGAATAGGGCAGAATGCTGTACTCATCCTAACAAGAAAGAGAAACATCAATACCTAGATCTATACCACTCAGATGGCAAAGGTTGTCAGGAAATACAGGTGACCCTCCCTGGGACACTCCCTACTACAGTCTCTTCTATTCAACAAGTATTTATGGAGCAGCTCCAATAAGTCCTGTACACTATTAGCAGCTAAAATGCTTTTCTTTTACTACTACTGTACAAATGAGCCACAGAGACTACAAGGCTTCATCTCCTAGGGCTGAACTGCCACGTTTAGATACCCTACCCCAACTGGTACCTGCCCTGCTGTGTCCACCAGGTGTAGGTGAAACTCATCTTTGCCAAGAGTCACTATCTTGCTGTAAGCTGAAAAGAAAAGAAAACTTGACTGTGAGGTGCCTTGTAGGGCCAGCAATGTATGCCCCCTTACATTCTGTTTTTTCTTTAAGAGAGGGAGACAGCTTCTAGCTGTGTTGCCCAAGGCTGGAGTGCAGGGGCTATTCACGGGCTAGATCATAGCGCACTACAGCGTCACTCCTGGGCTCAAGCGATTCTCCCACTTCAGCCTACCCAGCAGCTGGAACTACGGGGGGGGGTGACACAATCCAGCTGCCCCCTTACATTCTTAACTCTGGGGGTGACATAGATAGACCAGGTCCAAGGAGTTCTCCAGGTAACCACACAGACATGCTAGGGTTTATTGTCCACATCTATACTATCCTGGATTCAGTACCTTGGAAAATCCACATCCTAGCCATGCATAGAAAAGATTGCTAGAGAAGAGATTAGACTTAACATCTAAATAAATCAGCCCCTTGGCACCAGAGAAATCCCATATTATGAAGTTGAGTGGGGCACCCAAACTCTCCCAGTCCCATCCCCAGCACACTAGGGGAGAAGTCTACTCACTATTCTCCACTGTAGGATCGTAGCCTTCCAAAAACTTGCCTTCCACAAACTGATGTGCCAAAGATGTCTTCCCTGTGGGGAAGCAGTGGTAGTTGTAGCCAAATCATCCACCAACATTAATATCCTCTGTTCTTTTAGACTGTGACCCAGGACCAAGGGGGCCCCCAAATTAGCACCCTAGCCTGTGAGTGTCCCAAGCAATGCTTTCCCTTGGCCCACTCTCAACCTCTTTTCCCCCAGGTCTCTGCACTTTGGCTACCAGATGCATTCAGAAACCGGCAAGGTGTGCCAGGCGCGGTGGCTCACGCCTATAATCCCAGCACTCTGGGAGGCCCAGGCGTGGTGGCTCATGCCTGTAATCCTAGCACTCTGGGAGACCAAGGCAGGAGGATCGTTTGAGCTCAGGAGTTCGAGACCAGCAACAGGGGGACCCCGTCTCTACTAAAAAAACGGAAAGAAATTAGCTGGACAACTAAAAATATATAGAAAAAAATAGCCAGGCATGGTGGCGCATGCCTGTAAGTCCCAGCTGCTGGGGAGGCTGAGGCAGAAGGATTGCTTGAGCCTAGGAGTTTGAGGTTGCTGTGAGCGAGGCTGACGCCACGGCACTCTAGCCTGGGCAACACAGTGAGACTCTGTCTCAAAAAAAAAAAAAAGAGAAGCCCGCAAGAAATCTTTTCCGCCGCTTTTCCCCACCCCACCCTACCCTCGGGAAGATCCAGGATTCCATAAAATCAAGTCCTACCTGCCCCAGGATACCTGCAACTATTTGTCGCACGCAGACCCTGCCCCCATCTTCAAATCGTGACCCCGCCCTACCCCCAGAGTAATGCTGGGGACCACTCTGAGGTTCCCAAAGCCAAATCCACATTAACCCTTACGTGTTCCCGCTTCCTGCAGCCCTCGACACACCACTAGCCTTTCTTCCTCCCCGCTTCCAATGCTCGCTCTACACCCGCGTTCTTACTATGCCACCATTCCTCCCTAGGTAGCGTTCGCTCGGCAGCGCGCCTCTCTGACCACAAAGCCACTGTGCATCCGTGCGCTCCGCAGGGCGGAGACTCACCTACAGAGCGGTATCCAAGGATGACCACCTTCCTGTAGCGGACCAGCGGCATGGCAGGAGCCCGCCTCAGAGGCTTGCAGAACTGCGGGCTGAGATAGCCCGAAGAAGAGGAGGTCAGGATGCAGGAAGGCGCGGCAACCGGTGCAGGAAAGTCGTTCACCCAGAAGCTGCCAGGGGCAAGCTAGAGGGAAACCAAAACAAGCGCCGCGCCCGGAGCGGGCCACGTGATCACAACACAGCACGTCTAAGGCAAGGGAGCCGGGCGCCTGGGGAACTACAGTGCCCCGCCGCTCAGGGCTCCTCCCCCTAGGCCTCTCGCCATTGGTCTATTAGAATGGGTAAGGGCGGGGCCGCCGGCAGGAGGGAAGGGTGGGCCTCACGTGGAGCGGGATCGCTGGGAGCTGCGCGTGCGCAGATCGGAGCCGGTTCATTCATAAAGAAAAAGAAAGGAACCCGGGGTCCTAGAGGTGTTTGCGCATTTGCAGCCTAGCAGAAGTGGTTGCGAAGAATGGTGAATGGAAAATGCCGGTTGTGTTTAGGCTGGAGTTTCTGGTCAAAAGATTCTAGGCCTCCTCTTTGCAAGGTTTCTGGGATCCTTGGATAGGAAAAAAAGGTAGATTTCAATATATTCCCTCTGTTTCCCCCAGCCTTCAGCCCCAGACCTTTTGTTGTCAGGTTTCCAGTCTTCAAGCATCTAACCTTGGAATTGCAATTCTTGTGCTTGGGAAAATTGCTAGAATTTGTGACCAGGTAGTCCGAGGTTTCGTAATCATCATCATCATCATAATCAATGCATTCATTTATTCAATAAATATTTACTGACCTATATACTACATGTTTCAGGCATTGCTCCAGCTTTGAGGATAGAGCAACGAACATGACAAAAAAGCCCTCTGCTCTCAGGAAGGTTAAAACTTGTTATGGGAAAAACAAACATATTGATAGGGAAATATCAAATAGTGTTAAGTGCTATAAAAGGTGGTGTGATAAGAAATGACCACTTTAGATTAGTGGCACTTTCTCTTAGAGGAAGCCCAATCTAAACTGAGATCTGAATGACAACAAAGAACCAACTAGAAGAAGATTCAAAAAGAATCCATCCATGCTAAGAAGCTAAGATGGAAATAAATTTGGTAAATTACGGGGTACGGGGTGCGGGCTACGGGCGGGGAAAGATAGTTAGCCTAAAGCAGATGAAGTCTAAGAGAATGGCAGAGGCCAGGCTACACAAAGGAGTATGGGTTAATTCTAAGTACCTTAAGATGTTTAAGCGGGGGCATGACGTGATCTGAATTGTTTTCCTAAAAGATCTCCTGGGCTGTGGAGAATGGATTGGGGTTTGGGGGGAACAGGAGCAAGAGGGAGATCAGCTAGGAGACTATTACTTGTAGTCCAGATGAGAGATGAGGGTGGCTTGACTAGAGTGGTAGTGATGAATGAAGTAGAGAATTCAGGATATGTTTTGAAGCTGGGGTCAAGCTGACTTGCTATAGGATTGGATATAGGAGGTAAGAGAGGTGGGAAAAAAGGAAGGAAAATACCTAGATTTTTAGAGACTTCTACTATGTGCCCGGTGCATTTTATTGTTATCTCATTTAATATTCACAACACCCCTAAGTTTGATAATTAGTATCATTCATTCGTTCATCAACAAATATTTATTAAACAATAACCATGTCTTGAATACCTTTCTAGGTGCTGGGAATAGAGCAGCAAACAGCACACGCAAGGTCTTTGCTCACAAAGAGCAAGTATTCTTTTGGGAGAAGACTAACAATCTAAAAATAAACAACAAATAAGTTATAATAAAAAAGTAATAACTGCAATGGGAAAGAAAAACAGAAATTAATGGGCTAGACAGTAACACGCACAGCTCGCTCTCGCTCTCTCTGGTTGCCAGTAAATCCCTCCCCTCACCCTTCAGGCCTACAGTGGTAACAGCCTCTCTGTTACTCACCTTGGGGTACTGCTCTACACATTTACACTTTGGTTTTTTGTTTTGTTTTGTTTTTGAGACAGAGTTTCCCTCTGTTGACCAGGCTAAAGTGCTGTGGCTTCAGCCTAGCTCACAGCAACCTCAAACTCCTGGGCTCAACCAATTCTCCTGGCTTGAGTAGCTGGGACTACAGGCGCATGTCATCATACCCAGCTAATTTTTTCTATTTTTTAGTAGAGATGGGGTCTTGCTCTTGCTCAGGCTGGTCTTGAACTCCTGAGCTCAAGAGATCCTCCTGCCTGGGCCTCCCAGAGTGCTAGGATTATAGGCGTGAGCCACCACACCTGGTCCCTGCCCACATCTTTGTAAATAGTCTCTTTATTAAATCCAGGCCAGGCGCAGGAGCCCAGGAGTTTGAGGTTATTTTGAGCTATGATGATGCCACCACACTCTAGTCAGGGCAACAGAGCACAATCCTGTCTCCAAAAAAAAAAAAAGGAAGACAAAAGACAAAGTGATTAGAAATAAATGTTTAGTGAACCCATCTACAAAACCTGCACATTTTAGAACCAATGTTTGTTTATTAAATATTTGTTCATGAAATATCAATCACTTTTTAAACTAATACATAAATGGTTACTTTGTAAAGATCATGGGTATGTGAAGATCACAAATATATGATCAAATAAAGGAAGTAAATTATCCTAATGTTGGGGAAATGGACTTGAAATAACATTTCTAGTGACAGCATCATACATTGCTATCTCAAACAACTGAGACAAAATAAACATAAAATGTTCCCAGAAAGCTGTTTTAAGTACCTCTGTAAAAAGTGAAAGCATCTTTACAACATCTACATCTAGGTTATATTGCATCTCTTTTCTAATGGATTCCATTGCACAGGTCTTCAGGGTTTTTTGATTTTCCACAGTTCCGGGTTCACCTCCCTGCTGATGTATCGGTTATTTATTGTTGCATAACTTGATGGCTTGAAACAACAATGTATTTTTCTCAGGATTCTGTGGGTTGAATTGGTGTTTCCTCTGTTGCCTCTCTTGGACTTACTCATGTGTCTACAGTCGGTGGAAGCTCCACTGGAAATTGAAGGTCTAACAGGACCTCACTTATGTCTGGAGCCTTGGTGCTGGGTATTGCCTGGGCCTCTCACTCTCCACGTCTCTCATCATTCAGTGGTCCAGCTTCTTTACATGGTGGCAGAAACACCCAAGAGGGCAAAGATAGAAGCTGTGTGGCTTCTTGAGGCCTTAGGCTCTGGAACTCATCCAGCATGACTTCTGCCACACGTTATTAGTTGAAGCAAATTACAAAGCTAGCTCTGATTCAAGGCACAGGGAAATAGACTCCATTTCTTGATGACAGGAACTACAAAATATTGTGGCTCTATTTTTCAATCTATCACAGAGTAGATTTATTATGGCAAGAAGTCCAAGCTGGAATTCTACATTTACCTGGCCCCCAGGTTTCCACAGCTGTAGTTGAACCCTACAACTCCATCCTCACCACCCACACCACCCTGGAGCACTCTGATTGTGCCTTCATGGTAGACAAATGAGGCCATCTATGACATCTGTCGTAGAAGTTGAGTGCCCAGTCTACACTAACCTGAACTTTCTGATATTTGGTCTGTTGTTGTAGTAACTTGGATATTAAGAACATATTTGGATATAGCTGGGTGTGGTGGCTCATGCCTATAATCCCAGCTATTAATGAGGCCGAGGCAAGATCACCTTGAGGCCAGCAGTTCAAGCCAGCCTGGGCAACATAGAGAGACCCCACTTCTAAAAAAAAAAAAAAAAGAAGAAGAAGAAGAAGAACATATCTGGCTACAGTAACAGAAAAATCAACTTAGAATAGCTTAAAAAAAACCCAGTGATTTATTTTTCTCATGTAACAAAGCTGGAGGTAAGTGGCATTAGTCTAGTTGCTCCATAATGTCAAGTCTGACATCTCTACAGTTCTCTTGATCCTTTCGTCATGCTTGTCACTTCATGGTCACAAGATGATTTCTCCTTCAAGTATTACATCTAAGCTCCAAAAGAGGCTGTAGTGATCATAAAGGCACTTATATTGAAAATGAATATTTTCATATCAATATCAGAGTTTGAATAAAACTATTCTTGCAATGTAAGAATAGAAAAGCAGCAAAATAACAGCAGTAATCTATTATATTATAGGACATGTACTTTTAAATATGTGCAGTATATGGAAGTTAATACATTAAATATTATAAATTTGACATTTGATTATTTAATTTCTAAAAGTGTGTTCAAGCAAGTTGGCCAAACAACACCTTTTCTTTTCTCTCTCTCTCTTTTTTTTTTTTTTTTTTTTGAGATACTGTTGCCTGGGCTACAGTGCTGTGGTGTCAGCCTAGCTCACAGTAATAACCTCAAACCCCTGGGCTCAAGCAATTCTCCTGCCTCAGCCTCCCCAGTAGCTGGGTCTACAGAGGCACGAACCATCATGCCTGGCTAATTTTTCTACTTTTAGTAAAGATGGGATCTCGTTCTTGCTCAGGCTGGTCTTGAACTCCTGACCTCAAGAGATCCTCCTGCCTCAGCCTCCCAGAGTGCTAGGATTACAGGTGCGAGCCACCACACCAACCAACACCTTTTATTTTGGATCTTCTAATTAGGAAAATGAATGATCACTTAATTGATGATCAAAAGCATCAACTTTTTAAAATAATATGCAGATACAGAGTTAAGATAAAATGCAAACATGTTATGTTTCTTAGGTTTAAATTAGCTGATAAGGCCAGGCGCAGTTATCACACCTGTAACCCCAGCACTTCAGGAGGCCAAGGCAGGAGGATCATTTGAGTCCAGGAGTTCAGGACTAGCCTAGACAACATAGCAAGAGCCTGTCTCTACAAAAATATTTTTAAGGCTAGCCGTGGTGGCTCATGCCTGTTATCCTAGCACTCTGGGAAGCCAAGGCGGGAGGATCGCTTGAGGTCAGGAGTTCAAGACCAGCTTGAGCAAGAGTGAGATCCCATCTCTACCAAAAATAGAAAAATTAGCTGGGCGTGGTGGCACACGCCTATAATCTCAGCTACAAAGGAGGCTGAAGCTGGAGGATCACTTGAGCCCAGGAATT